TACCTGCCTGCATATCTATGTATATATATTATCTTTGTGTGAAATAAACCAAATAATCTTGTGTATTTCACGGGTTTTTGTTTGTTGGGTAGGTGGTTGGGGCATGTTCAAACTTTTTCTAGCCGTTTCGCTAACAGTTAGTTTTAACGCGTCGTTTAAAAAAAATTTGTCTGTCAAAACGGCTAAACCGAAGGCCCAAATTTTGTGTTGGACCTCGCATGACCCCAGGGATTAGGGAAGGATGATTGCTCTCGAGTTACAAAAAGTTGTAAAAGCTTTTGATTTTTATGAAATCTTAAAAAGTCGCAAGAAAATAATTGAAAATCCGCAAAATCTTTTTTGTTCCATTTTTATACTTTACAAGAGAAGATGCTCACAGAAAGGTTAAAATATGGGTGCGAAGCGCCCTAAAAGCCTATAGTTTATTAATTGTATTTTAAGAGTTTTTGTCGTCTTTAGTCTCATCGTTTGTGGGTAACCCTGTATATACACACTGCTTACCACTTATAATTTAGTAAATTGAATTAAAACATAAACCCTGAACTTGAATTCATGTTACCTCGTCTGTACGCACATCCCCCGCAACATCCCCCTACTAAACTTCCGACCTACTTCCGACCATACTGCAATATCGAACCTACGCCAGCTGTTTATTTTTATATTATTTAAGGGTTAGGTTAGGTTGAGACAATTTCTGGGCCGCGCGCTGTGGCTAGGACCTATAGTCTAGGGGGCCGTGCGCCATCAGCTAGGACAGGCTAGGGGGCCGGGCGCTACGGCCATAAGCCCATATAGCAGCTGTAAAACCACGTGCTAGTATGTCGAATGTGTAGTATAGTGGATTGGGCGTAGGTCAGAAGTGGAGTATAGCGGATTTGCGTAGGTCGAAATACACCACCCATCAACTGTCTGTCGTCTTCTAATTTGAAAGAAAGTATAGAGGCATTCCCACATTTTTTAGCACGGAGTACGGACAATTATTAATAAACATTCTACGCGGTTGGAACATAATAAATATTGTGAATCGGAATTCAGAATTAGCATTATATCTATTGTTTCATTATGAAAAAGACATAACTAATTCAAAATAAATAACAAGGTTATTTTTTCTAGATTAGTATTTACGTCTTCATAGTTATTAAATTGGTTTGCAATGCTAATGTTTTAAATTTTAGATAAAATGTGTTAAATTCATTCTGAATGGTATATACCCGGCTGAACTAGAAAATGAAAGGGAATCCGTTAAAACAAATAGAAACTGTCCATGAACTTCATCAGTTTGATAAACAGCTGGTTGTCAAAGCTTTTAATGAAGACGTGGTAAATATTGATTTTATGTAATTGATGTAATTTCATGAGAGAACAAGTTTTGAACCCCTACATCCTTCCCCTGCCTCGGGTCTGTCCTAGAGAACGATTTTTGGANTTTCAGTTCAAACAGAAACAGAATTAAATTGCCTTTTCAGAAAATCAGAACTACAGATCTATTATAAATTCCTTGACCAATTTGGCTTATTAGTATCATTTTCTAACAGTTGAATGTCCAACCTTGCCAAACTGTGCCTGTGAATCGGTGCTATAGTACAATACTAAAAACAAGGGTTTTTAAAAGCTTTTAAGTGCCAAATTAATGTTAAGAAAAAAGGAAAATTTAGTTATTTGAAATTTTAGTAGAACCATGTGAGAACCTGCAAAGTGACGTTATTTTTGTTAAATGGAAGGGGGGGGGGGTAGGTCACAGAATAGGCCGATGGTTTAACTTATCAAAAAATCACTGATTTTAATTTGTTCTCAGTACTTGCATTTGAACAGCATGGAACTCCCTCACTAGCAGTTGATGAGGCAGTTAAATCATTTTTGAAAAATTGCACTAGACTGAAAAAGGTTAGTTAATTTTAATGTACTCTGGGTCCGGAAATTTCCAGTTTACAGAAAAAAAAAAACTTAGAAATTCCAGAACCTTCTCCACATTGGAAATGGGAAAAAAATCCTGATAAATTCCTTACGTAACCGCAATTCCTGTGGAAACCCTAATATTAGATTGTGCGGAAATAATTAGCAAGAAAGACGTTTTAAAAAGCACTTAAAAACAACTTTAACCCCAAAATAAAAGATGCGAGGAAAACAAAGATATAATTCTTAAAGACATTCCCATATTTGTATCATATAATCATTACTGACAATTGAGTTGAGCTTATTTGGGAGTCATACACACTAGAATACTTACCCCTCTACATTTCTGCAAAGAAATTCTGCCATCTATCGTTTATTCACTTAATATGTTGATCAGTTATTGGTTTGTATTTTAATATAATACTTTATTTAAGTTAACATAATCAATTGTTCAAATTCATTTGATCCTAAAAAAATTAGTTCAATTTGACCATTTAGATTTACGCGTATAGCCCACAGGGCTACAGCCGTTTTTGCAATTTTTCTTTTTCATTTGATAAATATTCTATAATTTGATATCTTGTCGCTGTAAATATAGAATTAAGTTTATAGATTTGGCTAATTTGTAATTATTGAGGAGTATCTGGGTCGAGGGCGTAATGCTGGTAGTCAGGATGAATCATATGAATGGGAGAGAAGCCTCGAAGGTGAACATTTATTGGATTCCAGAATATCAAATTCAGAAAGAGACTTAAAATTTTAAGAGCAGATGATTTTTTTTGATTTAAAGATATATTTGTACCTGAAATAGGGGTTTAAAGTAACTCAGAGAGCATTTATCTCTCTAAACATCATGTTATTCTGAGGAAATGGGCTTGTTAACAAATATTTTCATAAATTGAAAGAAAGAATGATTAAAAACTTGCCAATATTTGTATTGTTATTCGACATTCGGACTCAGAATTTGTAAATGGGGTTAAAAAGGTTTCCATTTTTTTATCTTACAGTTTTACCAATTTAAATGCAAATTGAACTTGCGATTTTTTCTTAAATGAGCATTCCATATGTTTGCTTATGTAGTAAAAAATTCAACCTTCAATGTCTTAAAGCAAGTTTCCGGTTTGAAATTTCAAATTTACTAAATGTTGTTTCCAGTTCTGTATGTGTATCCAAATATATTCAAATCTAGAAAGAGGAAAGTGGAATTTGAATTAGGAAGTTAAATTTGAATCAGGAAGTGGAATTTTAATCAGGAAGTGGAATTTTAATCAGAAAATGGAATCTTAATCGGGGAGTGAAGCTATTATCAGGAAGTGGAATTTTAATCAGGGAGTGGAGTTTTAATCAGGTACGGGAAAGGTAGTGGAACTTTGATTTGAGAGTGGACTTTTAATCGGAGAGTGGAGTTTTAATCAGGGGGTGGAGTTTTAATCAGGGAGTTGACTTTTTATTGGGGAGTAATATTTAATCAGGAAGTGGAATTTTAATCTGGGAGTGGAGTTTTAATCAGGAAGGAATGTTAACCATAAAGCTTGTGTGATATGTATTGCTTAATCTTGTTTTTTTTCTCATAGTAATACAAGCTATCCCTTTATCATATTACCGATATTATAAATTATAATTATAAAAAATTTTATGTTTATATTTTCAGTCGGAGATCATCAGTTTGTGATGGACCCATTGGACCATGCACATGCTCTGAATCCTGATCCCTACCTCCTGGAGTACCCGGAGGAGTCCCAGGAAGAATTGAAACCGACTTCCCTGCTGGAAAATTATGAAATAACACCTGAATGTAATGGTTTTGGTGTAACCAATATTTCCTCGGACCCTGGGTGTAGCCGATCGGAGTCTACCGGGGTGAAAACCAAATCAAGGAAACGACACCAAAAATCTGAAAAAGCGGATAAATCTTCAAAATCTAACGGTCAGTCAATAATTTCAGAAAATCCGCAATATTTGCAGGAACACCGGAAACAGCTGAGGAAGCTTATGAAGTACCGTGTGGTGGCGGCTAAAGAGAAAGCTAAAATCTGTTTCCTCAAGAGAGTAAAACTAGAGAGAGCGTTGGATATCAAGATTGAGTATCCTTTTCAGGCAGGGAATATAATATAAGATAATTCACCCCACCCCCTCTTAAAGGGTCTTCGTTGTTATCTCCAGTGACTTTGCAAAGTAAAGAATTGCATGCACGATATACAACTAAATACTTTAGACCCATATCTGATCAATAATATGTAAGATATTATCGTTTTTAAGCCCTGAGTGTATAACTTTGACTATTTCCACCATTTTGTTTAAAGCAGAAATCTGCTATGTAGTTAAATTGTAAATAATGTTATGATTCAAACATTGATAACTCATTTATTTTTTGATCTTTCAAAACATTTAAGGGCACCGTTGTGTATCGGACTGCCACTATGATAAGAGGGTCATTTAAAACTTTGTGTACAATCCCTTTTCTGATTATAAAAAAGTCTGCAAGTTGACAACTATTATTCATTTTATTTCATCTACAGGTTTGAGGTTAGAAAGTCTATTTGAAAAATAATTCAAATTTAATCCCTTCAATTTATTTTAAATTATATTTTTATTTATGTATTGTAAACACATCACATCTACATTTCCTAATATTATTTTATATATTTATTATATCCCTGTATTCTAGGACACCTCAGAATCCAGCTCCTCCAGTGGAAGTGAGGTGGAGGGGGAGGAGATAGGTGTTTAATCAATCAATCAATCAATCAATCAAATATGAAGTTCTGTTAAATTTAAGAAATTCGGGAAAGAAAATATATTGTCTTTGTTGTACTTAATTACGATTTTCTATTCAAATGCAATTTTAGTTGTAATTTTTCTTCAGATGTTGAATTTTTGAAATTCCTGGAAGCAGGCCTCAAAAGTTGTACTAGTTGTACAGAATTTTCAGAGACCTTAATTACAATTGAAGTGTAACACTTTTAACAATACTCTTCATTTTTACGTACGTGGTTCATTTCTTAGTCATCCCTGGTTTGATAACGTATTTTTATAAGAAAAATATCTGTTTTTAATATAAAAACCAACGTCGAATTCTTCAAGTTTACAAAAATCTGGTAAACGAAGCTTTTTTTTACAATGGATCTGATGACTCACCTAAAACTCTAATGATTAGGCCTAGGATGCTAAAAAATTTTCCTAGATCAAATAGTTAAAATTTCAAATATAATTTGATTAAACACCAATTGAATAAACACTGTACAGATAGAGGAAATTGAAAAATTGAGTTTTTAGTTTTTAATGAGAAAAAACTTAAAGCAAACATTGTACACAGAAATAAATTCTACGAATCATACAATAAAAATTTTGAGTTTTATTCTCGATCACCCTCCCCCCCCTTAATTAATCGAGTGAAATCTTTCAACCGCGTAGAAACTAGTGCCTTAACATCTCAGTAAAGGTAACGCCTGTATCTGGGTGTTGTGAACAAAAATAACCTGAGAAAGAGAAAGAAAATAAAATGTCCTCAGGCCGGACCTTTTAATATAAAAGAACAGACATGATATTGTTGAATCAATTATTGAAAGATATATATGAGACATTAAAGTTTCTTTTGCAGTCCCACTGCCACTGTACTTAATTTCGTCGATCATTTGTATTAATGGATCAAACCTAGAAATAAAAATGACCAAACTTCAATTTACAGGAAAAATGGTTTTATTAATGGTCTTCGTAAATATATAGAACTTCAAGGTGTTGCCAGTGGAATTTTATAAACGTCAACATTTGTTAAGCATATGTCACCCCGGGGTTCCATAGACAATGTCAGCCAATACGGTCCGGCCAGTCATGCTTACATATATAGAAATATACTTTTGGACAAAATAATTTTAAATAATTGATTTAATAAATTGTATATATCTCTGAAAGATCACCTCCCCCCATTGAGGAGTATCTGGGTCGAGGGCGTAATGCTGGTAGTCAGGATGAATCATATGCCGGTATATTTCGATATGTGGCTTCAACGCCCGGCTAACTGGTCTGTCCCAGCTACAGAACTCAGTCCAGAAATTTTCATGATTTAACCTAATCCAAAGTTATATGATAAAATAATTTTTTATGAACTTTGATAACAATCCCTTTTATCCACAACATACAATGATTATTGTTCCTTTAATAAGGCGCGATTACGAGTTCATGTAGTTATTCTTGCGTTTTAAAGTTTTAAATTCTGGCCCCAGTAAATAACTGGGTCAATCCTAGAGAACGATGACTGGACCCTCCTTCTCCAACTATTTTTATCAAAATTAGTAATTATTGTGTATTATTTCAGGGTTAGGTTAGGTTTTAAGATATTCTAGGCCGAGCGCTGCGGTTATGACAGGCTAGGGGGGCTGAGTGCTGCGGCCATGGTTTATTATTTATAGAAATCGGGTCCGTCATAGTAGAGTTTTGGACCCCACCTAAGCCCTCCTATCAATTTTGTATATATCCACTAATTTTCAGCAAAATTCGCGCTAGGGGACTGAGCGCCGCGGCTAGGACAGGCCAATTAGAACCATGTGTTACACATGAGATCCAGAAATCGTTCTATAGGTTTACAAACAAATGTTAACATATTATTTAATTAGTTATATCATAAGTTCAAATTTGATGCATAAAAGGCTTCAAAAACTCTGTTCACACTTTTGGGGAACACTTTTGCGGAAAGGATTTTAAAATCATTATAACAGAAGATTGTTAAACGTTAAATTTTAGAAATCTGCCCTTGAGACCGATGTGGGTAAAACAGCGGGAGAAACAGTTCGACGTGTGATGCGACGACTTGGAACAGCTGAACTCTGGTTACAGTACAACTTCAGGGGTCAAAGGGGGAAAAATGCGTTCGTGGATTTCCAGAATCTTCTAGATCTGATCAGAAGTAAGGCAATAAATTAAAGAAATAAAGATGAAAAGTGTTCAAGTATGATTTTGCAGAAGAAATTATATTTTGTCAAAAACTGTCAAACATAAATTTTCACAGAATAATTTTCTTCATATTTTTAGTTGTTAAATAAAAATTCAATAATAATTAAAATTTGTGTTCACGATTTTACAAATATTCCCCATATTGAAAACTATGATAATTAATTTGGGCGGCCTATTTACGCAGAATTATGGATTACCCTGCAAAGTTATCGTTTAAAAAATTGCGGATTTTCAGTTCAAACAGAAACAGAATTAAATTGCCTTTTCAGAAAATCAGAACTACAGATCTATTATAAATTCCTTGACCAATTTGGCTTATTAGTATCATTTTCTAACAGTTGAATGTCCAACCTTGCCAAACTGTGCCTGTGAATCGGTGCTATAGTACAATACTAAAAACAAGGGTTTTTAAAAGCTTTTAAGTGCCAAATTAATGTTAAGAAAAAAGGAAAATTTAGTTATTTGAAATTTTAGTAGAACCATGTGAGAACCTGCAAAGTGACGTTATTTTTGTTAAATGGAACTAGCTGAATTTGCGATCTGATCATATGGTTTGTTCATGTCTTGTTCAATTACATTTCTCACTTTGTCCAAATTTTCCGGTGTCCTCACTGTTCTCTTGGGCCCAGCCCCGGACCTTTTTATGCGATTTTCTAAGGATCCATGTGAGCGATATTTTTTTCTCATGTTAAACATGGTTGCCTTACAGGGGAGTTTAACCCCTGGAAATTCGTTAGCAAAAAGTCGCTGGATCAATGGAACCCTCTCACTAACTTTAACATGTGAATATTTTATGAACATATAGTTTATAAAAGTTCTTTGTTGAATAGAAAATCTAAATTCCGCCGCCATGTTGTTGACAATGAATTTGTATACGATTGTACCGAAGCAAATCTTAATCTATTTCGAGATAGATAGATATTTTAAAAACTTAGGAAGCGCATCTCTATAGAATATCGTCGTCCAAAAAAAAAGAGCCCGTTAATAGTCTAATATGATAGGGGACACCCTGTATATCCGTGTTTCCATTCATGGTTTAACACTAGGCACTTAACAGAGGGCGGGATTGCAACCATGCCAATTTGTAAACTCAAAACTCTACTTTATGGAAAGTCCTTTTAACAGGGTATAAGCGTACTTCTGTGTTCTGGTTGGTACTGGGGGTTACCGGAGAGTACTAGGGAGTACCGGATGGTACTGGGGGGTACTGCAGTGTACTGGGTGGTACTGGGTGGTAGTGAGGGTACTGCAGGGTACATGGTGGTACTGGGTAGTACTTGGGGTAAGGGGGGTACTGGTGTAAGAGAAAGACAAAACTTTAATTCTAACTTAAATATTCCAAATCAAACTGCTCAACTATTGACTATTGTGTGATTCTTTATCTTACTTGAAATAAATCTGAGCTCAAAGTTCTGGTCTCAAATAAACAAGTTAAAAGCACAGAAGATATTTTATTTATCTTTGAAACTGACACAATATAAATCCTTAAAAACTAAGTACTAGGGAGAACATACATGAATACGAGCCTTCAGAGTAAAAGAATCAATCTAAAAGAACTAAGCTAAACTTGGAAATAGAAAAGGGGAGCAAAAGCAAAAGTAATAAAGAAAACTTCAAAACCTGAATAGGCGGAGTCACACGCAGTTTCACTCTGGAAAAATTTCTGTTCTGAACTCAGGCTTGGGGAGAAATCAAGCCCCTTTTTATACTCCCAAGGGAGCAGGAACTGCGCGCGATAATTGGACTATTCAGATTTTGATTGGTTGTTTACACTTATAATGATACATAATTGGACAGTAAGGGTTCCTATTGGAGGGGATAAAAGAGTTGGGTACTTTTTAATTATCATAATTATTGTAATTGCGTTGCATGAGATCTGATTGGCTCTAACAGAGAACAGGGGATCAAAAAGAGGGGGACGAATTTCACCATGGAGTAATTATATATCATTAAGTTCTAGAACTTTCAGTTTAAAACAACATAATACGGGTAAAAACTGATGCTTTATAATTACGAAAAGAAGGGGACGTATTTCACCCTACAGTAATTAAATTCAGGAATGTGCTAGAAATATGGATACATACACTGGGACGTTATGCAGGGTACTATAGGGTAAAGGGTACCTTGGGTTAAACTGCTGTGTACTGGTTGCAGGTACTGGGTTGTACTGGGGGCACCTGGGTATTGCATATAAGTTAATCTACTGTATATGTTAGTCTACTGTATATGGTAGTCTACTGTATATGGTAGTCTACTGTATATGGTAGTCTACTGTATATGTTAGTCTACTATATATGTTAGTCTACTATATATGTTAATCTACTATATATGATAGTCTACTATATATGTTAGTCTACTGTATATGGTAGTCTCCTTTCTGTTAGTCTACCGTCTGTTAGTCTACAGTCTGTAAATCTACCGTCTGTTAGTTTACATTCTGTAAATCTACCGTATGTTAGTCTACAGTCTGTAAATCTACTGTCTGTTAGTCTAGAGTCTGTAAATCTACCGTCTGTTAGTCTACAGTCTGTAAATCTACTGTCTGTTAGTCTAGAGTCTGTAAATCTACCGTCTGTTAGTCTACAGTCTGTAAATCTACTGTCTGTTAGTCTAAAGTCTGTAAATCTACCGTCTGTTAGTCTGTTCGTTGAAGTGGAATATTGGATATTGGAAATATTAAAACGTGAATAAAACGCAGCATAAAATTCGATGGTTTTGGAATTTTATGAGAAATTTTACCTGTATGCAAAATTCATTTTAAATTTAAATTTAAAATTCAATTTTGTAATCCTCCGATTTTATAAAGGAAATGAGTCTTTGCCACAAACTCTGATTTTCTAGCCGCAATATCTTAGATAACCTTAGATATTTCAAACTCTGAATTATGATGGATCAAATAATCTAAGTTTGAAATGTAAAAGGTTTATGTCTTTAAGTTGCAAAGATATAGGGATTAGAAAATTTGAATTTGTGGCAAGACTCAATTCCTTTAGCATATTTTAGGGCTGACAACTCAAAATTGACAAACTTTTAAAAAACGACAGTTTTACTTTGCTATGATAACGGAGATTATACTGTTTACTTTTAATGCATAAAAGGCTAGCTGAAGTTTACAGAATTTACTTGAAAGGACTGTTTGGAAATTTACAACAGATTTTTAGCAGTCTTGCACAATCTAATTTTTTCCCTTTAGGCTTTCCAAAAAGCTTAAAACTTTCGAATTGGAATGTAAAATACAACTTTAATCTGTCATATAATAAAGGAATGAGGAAGTATGCCAAAAAGGAATATGTGTATCAAATTAGATCAAAATGCAAGTTTTAAACTTAATTCATTAATTCAAAACACAAATCTTCTCATAAAATTAACCACAAGCAAATTTTTCCCCCCCCCCCCATCATCCCCCCC